AAAGCATGCCTTCTGGAGAAGAACAAAAGTGTTTAACTAGTTACTCCCTCCGTCCCGCTATATTCGTCCACTTTTGACTTTTGGAACTGTTCATCTAAGCACTTTGACTCATCAAATTCTCTCAATGTGTAAGCCTAAATATAGTCATGCGTGATCTTGTTTAATTTGTCTTAACATATAAATTATTAATATATAATTTCTATAATTTTTTAATATACAAATTACAAGATAAAATGGATTAAAGAAGTGTATTGGATGGTGTGCAAAAATGAAAGTGGACAAATATAGTGGGACGGAGGAAGTATATTATAACTTTTATCAAGTTAAAATGATATGGTTGGAGATGCTCTGAAGCCACTCTCTGAAAGGTGGTTCTCTGCTTTGTTTTTGTTAAGAGAAAAGTGCACCGTTTACCCCCGAATTCTTTGAAAATTGCACGGTTTACCCCCGAACATTAAAAAGTGCACCAAATACCCCTGAATTCTTCAGAAATTGCACGGTTTACCCCTGAACAATAAAAATTGCACCAAATACTCCTGAACTCTTCGAAAATTGTACTGTTTATTCTTGAACATTTAAATAAAGACGACAATTTTGGGGAAAAAACTTTTGGAGAATTCACAAGGGCCATATAAATCATATTCGCAATTCTTGAGCGTGGAAGCAACGCACTCCCTATCTAATAGTTTAGGACCAACGATGCAACGGTTTAATTTGTTCAAGGGTATTTGGTGCATTCTTTAGTGCGCAGGGGTAAATCGTGCAATTTTCGAAAAGTTGGACGGTAAACGGTTAGTGTTAGTGCTTGTGCTTGTCGGCCAGGATGAAAAACCTTAAACGGTTAGTGTTAGTGCTTGTGTTAAACTTTGCATATTTCCTTATTTGGTTCAATATATAAATACTTCATTAGTGCTTGTCGGCCAGGATGAAAAACCTTATTTAAAAAATATTCTTGGTCTATAATTTTGAGGACAATGACACAGTTAGTGTTAGTGCATCATTTCAACATAATTACCATCCCACTTCACAAAGTTTAATTTTGAGTAAAACAACAGTGTCAAATGCTACGTACAATACTGTCATTGGTGAGGATAAAATACTCCCTCCATCTCTAAAAGATTGACATGGTTTGACTTTTCTAATCAAACCGTGACATCTTAATTTTAACCGCGAATTATTGAAAAAGTAAATATATACTTATAATGTACTCCCTCCATTCTAAAATAATCTTTTCTGTAACTATTTACATAGTCAAACTTTGATCATTTTCTTTACTTATTTTCGTTAATAATTTGATAAACCAATATAGTCATGTCACCACTTGTTTTGTAAAACTTTTGATATATAATTTTTATTTTTAAAATTTTCATTATAATCAAATAAATTGAATTGAAAATAAGTTGAGTCGAACTTCTTAAAGCGAACTGAGAAGATTATTTTAGGATGAAGGGAGTAAATTTAGTGAAGTTGGGTTTATTTTAAAATATAGTTTTAATATCAAATTTTTACTATATTCAATTGTTTTAAATTCTATTTAATTTGTGATTAAATGAGGCAACAATTTGACTAAAAAATCAAATTATGGCAATTTTTTAAAGGATGGAGATGGTAGGGAATATTGTCGCTACTTGATGGTGTAAATTTAACTGGGTAAGTTTGACCGGATACGACGTGGTCAAACGATTCTACCTAGCAAGCCAAACACACCCGAAAGTAAGAACAAAAGAGATGACCTAGACTAGGAAAGAATTCCCGAGCCCAAAACTATATTTCTTATTCTATCTCAAGAGTGTACAAGAATGTGTATGGATGAGTGAATGTCCTTCTTCCACCTTTCACAATCTATTTATATTGGGTGAAAGAAGTCAATTAAGGCAACAAGCCCTTCCTCAGACGCAATCTTAGCCTCTATCAATACTTACATAAGGAATTAATCCCCTGACCCGCCATCCGCTAGCCTAACCGTCAATGAGCGTAAATCTCCCCCTCATTCATGCTATCCAACGGTTTAGCGTGATTCATGCTCCGTCACTAAGTCCCAGGGATTGCAGGGTAACGTGGCGGGATGGCTCCATGCGTGCCTTCACCTAGCAACGTGCCTTTTTCGGTTCATCTCGTAAAACCTAACCGTACCAATCTGATGAGTTCGTCCTTCGAGCCAACTCTAATAACGATACTGTAATAAATTGACCATGCTGAAAACATGACCGGTCACCCTTCAGGAGAGAGATGACCGGTTGTTTCTTAAATGTCGTATGCCACCTGGAGTGCCACTTAATATTCTGACCGGTCGGGTATGACCTGTCACTTTGAGCCCGTCCGGGTCGGGTATTGGTTATACCCATCAAGAAGTCCTCCACTTACCGGCATTGTGAGAATCATTAACGGCGGGAAGTAAACCTAGCACTTCTCCCTGAGAAATATCCAGAGCAAAAATGGGGTGGCGCTAATAAAAAATTGCTCTTTCAGCCATAATTTTTAAACATAGGTAACTGTCATGTATAAATTAATAAACAAAAAAACTATTAGTTTTATTAAAAATAGAAAAAAATAATGTATATGAATCATATGGGCAAGGTTATTACAAGAATTCTGGCAACAAGAATGGGAGCTCTACTTCCTAAGCTTATATCAGAAGAGCATAAAAGCTTTCGGAAAGGTAAGGGCATTGAAGATCAAGTTTTGATTGCAAATGAGCTGCCCATCACATTAAAGACAAGGTAAGAGGCATGCAGGAGCATAATGATGAAACTTGATATGGCTAAGGCATTTGATAAAATGTCCTGGATATACCTCGAAAAATGCCTTGAATCCTTTGAATTCTCAAAAAAGACCATTAATCTACTAATGGGGAACCAATATGGCACTTTTGTCTTTATTTTGTTTAATGGCCAACCAAAAGGCTACTTTCAAATAAAGAGAGGAGTTAAGCAAGGAGACCCACTTTCCCCGCTGCTTTTCATTATTGGAGCTGAAGGGTTCACTAGAACTCTTAAGAAATACATTAACTCAACTAAAATGGGGTCATATAAAGCTGGTAAGAGTAACACAATCTCACGCCTCGGGGTCATTTCAGAAGGACTTTGGAGGCTTATTCTATGGCTCCATCATCTTCGATGGAGCCAAAATTTCACCATTTTTTGGCTTTGGGGTGTGATGGAATAAATCAAAATGGATCTCTAAACTCTGTGCTTCTTTAATTAATGAAGTAACAGTTAGTCAAGCAATGCAACTTTCGACGTTGAGCTGAGGGTCTCTTTGGAAACAACCTCTCTACTTTTGAGTAGGGGTAAGGTCTGCGTACACACACCCTCCCCAGACCCTACTCTTGTGGGATTTAACTGGGTTGTTGTTGTATTCTATGGCTTCTGGACAGCAATAAACTATGATAAGAGTAAATTTCATTGCTCTGAAAAAACTCCTACCGTCCTTAGGGAGAATATGAGTAAAGCTCTAAACATCTGTTGTGGTACTATGCCTTTTACTTGGGATCTACCATCGGTAAAGGCAAACTCAAACGGAAACATTGTGACAAAATTCTTGCCCACTTTGATAATCTTATCAACTCATGGTACAGTAAGGTTCTCAACCCTATGGGGAGACTGGTGTTAATCAAACATGTACTGTCTGCTATACCCTTACATATCATGGCTGCACATGAGGTACCCAAATTAGTGATCAAAATGCTTTACAAAAAATAGCATATTTCTTTTGGGGCAACAAGGATGGGAAACATAAGAGACACTCGAGAAAATGGAGTAACCTCTGTAAGCCAAAAGGCTTACAGGAGGTCTTGGTCTCAGATCTTTCGAGGATACACAAAAGGCTTACTCACTTAAACTTTGGTGGATATGCCAAAAGGAGGACACACAATGGACCAGGCTAATCAGAGATAAATACTGCAAAAGGGGCTCTTCTATATACAAAAGCTATGACTCTACATGTTGTAAAATAATATGTTCTGTTAACTATATTGGCCAGGAGCATATTATGGAAAGGGAAGGGGACATCAAATGGAACAATGGGAAGTTCACTTTTAAGGACGCATACTCAGTAGTCACAGAGCACAACAATACATCAATTGTATTTAAGTATGCTTGGAGCAATACACAGATTCCCAAAATTAGACTTTTCTAGTAGAAATTACTGTCACACATACTTCCACTTGATTACACCCTTACCAAGATTGGGTTCAATTTACCTAGCATGTGTCTTACCTGTAGGGCAGATTCTGCGTTTGAAGATCACACCTTGCTCACTGGATGTAAAGCAACTTCAGTTTGGAAGCATTTCGCAATCCAAATCAAAGGACCTACAAGACGAGAGGGGATTAATATTAGCCAACATTGTCTGGAATGGTGGTTCACTGCTAATACAAAGAATTTGCCAAGTATGTTGAGGCTAATTGCACCGGGAATCATAGCTTGGGTTCTGTGAAAAGAGTATAATGCTCAGAAATATGAAGGGAAAGGAAAGGATCATCAAACACTAATCGTAGAAGTCTACAAAATCTTACAATCATGGTTCTGGGGGTGCAGCAAGGCGAAGAGAACGACAAGTGAGGAAGACTTGGATGTGATCAAGATTACTCACACACAGCGAAGAGAAGAGAAGAGAAAAAAGATCAGATGTACCTTATGTTGAGATCGACCCCTATAGAGGAAAGTATTTGAGCTAATTAGGAAATGAAGCTGACAGTATAGCATTTGATTTTTGTTTGATTTGCTTTGTACTTTGGTTATTTGCTTAATTGGTTTAAGAAGAAGAAGAAGAAGAAGAAGAAGAAGAAGAAGAAGAAGAAGAAGAAGAAGAAGAAGAAGAAGAAGAAGAAGAAGAAGAATAATTATAAAAATAATAATAATAATAATAATAATAATAATATTTTATACATATAGCAACACTCTCCTCATTCAATGAACTGGAATGATGATTGTGGGTATATTTAATGTGAATTAGGTCTTACACTATCATACTCATCAACCAGCAATATCAATAATTCAAGAATTGCAAGAATTTCATTATTTCTAGTTTCAAGAACAAAATAGTCTTACAGTCCTCAACCTGAAATAGGTTAAGGGATATGGAGCTACATATCTTACAAGCTAATGAATGCTATTGCTAGTAAATAAAATTTGACTCTTCATGAGCCTGTAAATTGAAGGGAAAAATTATACAGATAATAACAATAGTAGCATATTATGTAAAATTAAAATAGCTCTCTCTCAAGCTGTTGCAGTTGTTTCGTTGTTTCGGGTAACCAAACCCAGACCCTGGACACCATTCATCGCCATCGCAAAACAAACCACCATTAGAAAGAAACAAAAGGATTATTGTAAATGATAGTTATTGTTTCTCCTTATGGGGGTGTGCTTGTTTCAATCACCCACTTCCACACTCTTACTTGCCCTGACTCATCACCAGTGAAAAACAGACCACCAGGGCCAATTTCAATGCAACGTATTGCCTCCTTCGAGAAGATCTTGCCCCTCTCAGAAAAGCTAAGGTTCAAGAAATATGCATTAAATTAAAAATAAGTAAATTCAATATAGAGGAAAACAAGGCTTGAGAAAACAAATATTGTCATGTTTGCTTACGATGGAAGATCATAAACACGAACTGTGTTGTCATTGCAAGAACAGAGCAGTACTGGCTTGGCCTCAGGATCATGCATTCCACACATGGCTAGCACCCCCTATTCACATCAGTTCACAATCATATATTGCATCAACTTTTAAATGATAATGGACACAGAACACAAATTTGAATGTCAAAGAGCTGGGAAAAAATGCAAAGTTGTAGAAAGATGCCACATGACTGATGCAGTAAACCACATGATGACATGAGTGATGCAGTAAAGGGAGAAAATATGAAAACCTCAAATTCATAACATTCTTCACCCAACAAACACCCTCAAACATTATACCATTCATACCAATATCAATTATATGGCTCATATTATTACTGGCTAAACAAGACGCAAAGCACAGAAACATAATTCTTTTTGAAAATCATTCAAACATAGCACATTAAAAGACAACTCTAAATGGAAATATTTAAAGTTTATGAAACAAAAATGCCTTGCCACTTTGAACAAGAATTCTTAAAAATTACTTATACTCTGTATATACCACCAGTGGTTAAGCAAATTAAGCAATGTTCTCAAAACTGGACAGGATTGACCAGTTTGATTGGTTAAATCGGTAACTGGTGTGTGTCGCGATTCAAAACACCCTATCGACCTGGTTTAAGCCGGATTTGATCATAACTAGCAAAAACCTGTCAAAAACAGTCAAACCATCCAGGCAGTTGAACCAGACTGATGGCTAGGCTAAAAACAATACGGCATAAATAAAATTATAAATTTAAACTGACATTATTGGGATTCGTACCAGAAACGATCTAGAAGCCCAAAGTTTTTTCAACTTGATACAATTAAAAATACAAAGCACCCTATGTTTAGGTTGAGTGAACCGTTCGTTGTTATCCTACCATTCCAACCAGCGCGAGAGCTGTATCTCAATTCTCCACCTTTGATTGCTAATACTCCCTCCGTCCCCCTGTACTTGTCCACTTTCATTTTTACACACCATCCAATGCACTTCTTTAATCCATTTTATCTTGTAATTTGTATATTAAAAAATTATAAAAATTATATATTAATAATTTATATGTTAAGACAAATCAAACAAGATCACATGACTATATTTAGGCTTACACATTGAGAAAATTTGATGAGTCAAAGTGCTTAGATGAACAGTTCCAAAAGTCAAATGTGGACAAATACAGGGGGACGGAGGGAGTATAATTTATCTAACCGATTAGTGTTTTTTTATATCCAGTCGCGATGTGGGACGAATGGAAGATTATTTCCCACATGCACCCTCCTAGTCCATCCATGTACTCCATAATGTTAGAAAAAGGAGTTCACTGACTTCACGGAGCATAAGAAAAAGGAGTGCTACAACAGAGTACAAAAGAGCCCTTCCCATTCATTGGGATGACCTCTATCTTCCTAAAAAATATAGGGGGTATTGGATTGAGAAACATGATACTCTGGAACAAAGCAACAACCAGTCAATCATGAAACTGAATTGGGGGAAAGAGCTCTCAATATAATAATGTTCGGTCGAGACTCTCTCTCTGGCGATTGAGCTACTGTATCTCGTCACCATTTCCGTTCATTCTTGCTGTTCTTCCGGTGGATTCGTGACTATCCAAGGCCAGATTCTTGTTCTCCACATCAAGGCAACTCTCTTCATTGGTGGCTCCTTCCAGATTTGTTGGGTTTTGGAAGTCAACGCTACTAGGGTTTCTGCGTTCTGCTCTTTTCCCGGCTCAGGTACGTATGGCTTTTCGTTCTTGAGTTGTTATGGGGAAGAAGAGTAGGTCTAAAGAGCCCGCACCTCCAACTCCTCTGAAGAAGAAGGTTCCGGAGTTGAAGGTGGATGATGAGGTAACTGTTGATACGGTGGAGTCTGATAGTTCTTGTGATGAGGTTGACTCTGTGAATGATGCGCTTGAATGTGAAATTGGAACGGAAAAGGAAGGTGAGGATGATACCTCCTCCGATAATAAATCTAATTCTCAATCCATTGATGAAGAAGCTGTGGAGAAGGACATGTTAGATAAACTACTGGAGCAAACCAAAGACACCTCCAAGGTGTTTGAGAAAAAGCCTGAACCAACTCCTAAGAAGAACTTTGCTGATCTGCTTAAGAATAACAGGGGTGAGAAGCAAGGAATGCAACTCTTTAAGGTTGATTTGCCTGACACAGAGGAGGTCTTCTTACCCAAAGAAGCTATCCTTCCTGTTGAAGAGATTTGGGGGTACTGTTTAGTAGGCTGTTTTGCAGGGAAATTCCCTGGGCTTAAAGCCATCCAGAAAATGGTGGACAGCTGGGGGGTACCCTGTGAAATTCTCCCACACAAGAGAGGCTGGATTGTATTTAAATTTTGGACAGATGAACACAGGCAAGCTGTTATGACAAAACCTGTGGAGGAGATTACAATTAACAAGAAGCTGATGTTCAAAATTCTTGAAAAGGATTTTATGTGGAACTGCAAATCCTTTGCCACCATGCCAGTTTGGGTCAAATTCGTGGATGTTCCTATGGGCTTTTGGTCTCCTCTGGGGCTTTCCCTCATTGCTTCTAAATTAGGAACACCACTCTATTCTGATGGAGTGACTTACACTGCTGCATCCAAGTTTGATACTTCTCAGGAACCTAATGCTGCCAGGAAGGTAACCTACTGTAGGGTGATGGTTAACATGGACTTGTTTGTCAAACCCCCCTTGTCGGTTAAGGTTGCCTATGATGAGGGAAACTACATTCAAAAGGTTGAATACGAAGATATGCCAGAATATTGCTATCATTGTGAAGCCTTTGGCCATAATCCTTTTGACTGTAAGGCTTTACATGAGATTCACAGGAAAAGATTTTTGGAAAAAGAAAGATTGGAAGAACTGGCCAGAATTGAGGCACTTAAAGAGGCTAAATTGGCTGAGGCTAAAGCTAAAGGTACCAACAAACCCAACTACACATACAAAGCCAAGAATACTGACAAACAACCAGCTCCTAAGGTACCTACTGCCAATGATGTGCCAATTCTTGATGAAAATAAGGGCAAGAAGGCTGTGGAAAATGAAGTGACTCAGAAACCAAGCAATGATGAGGATCCTGCACCTTCCTTCTCTGTTAAGAATCCCAATGATGGTGATACCCTTATTGGAACTGGGGTTGGCACTCTCACTACCATTCTAACTAAGGATTCACATCTCAAGGAACCTCCTGACATTGGGGGAAAAGGCAGGAGAAGCCTACTGCTCAATCTAAGAGTAGTGGCAGGACTGGAGGAAACCAATATCATGGCAACAACAAAGGGGGTGGGAATAGAGACAGAGGGAGGGGCCCTGGCCCTAACCGCAGATGAAGGTTTTTTGCTGGAATATTAGGGGCTTCAATAGAGCCTCTAAACAACACTTTTTGTGTAAATATTTGAATGATCTTGGGGTCCATTTTTGCTGCATTCTTGAAACCAAGATGACGTTAGCCAAACTAAACCTTTTTGTGAAAAACAAACTTCCCAATTGGAAATCTGCAGATAATTTTGGTTATATTGAGGGGGGAAGGATGGCCATTTTTTGGAATGACTCTTTTGTTAATTGCACTGTTAAGGAAATTTCTGATCAATTCATTTATTGTGATATCCATTGCAAAATTACACAGAAGAATTTTGCTTTATCTTTTGTGTATGCTCTATATAATGTGGGTGTCAGGAGAAACCTTTGGGAAGGCCTTACTAATATTGCAGGTGCCATTCACACCCCTTGGGCCATCATGGGGGATTTCAACTGTGTGGCTAATTCCAATGAGAGACTCAACTGCCATTCCCAGGCTGCTTATTCCATGACTGACCTTTTCCAGTTTAGAATCAACAATGACTTGGTTGACTCTAAATCTACTGGACTTCAGTACACATGGAATAAAGGGAATAAGTGGGCCAAGCTTGATAGAGTGCTGATTAATCATGACTGGGAGGCAATTGATTGGGTATGCTGGGCAGAATTCAAAGACATGCAAATTGAATCAGATCATTGTCATGTTGTCCTGAACCTTATCCAAAACAACAGCAAGGGAACACCACTCCTTTCATACCATCCTTCAGAATTCTTGGGGTATCAGAGTGGAGGGTACAAGGCAATACAGAGGGTACAAGGCAATACAGGCTCTGCAAAAAGCTGAAATTCCTGAAGCAACCTCTTAGAAACCTCAACAAGCTGAATTTTGGGCACATCTCCCTTAGGGCTTAGGATGCCAAGGAGGAGTATAGTTTGATGATGAAAGAACTTGTACTCCAACCAAACAACCATAATTTACTTCTGCAAACTGAACACTTGAGGAAAAAAGCCAATTTTTACATTGATTCTGAGAGAGCTTTCTTTCAACAGAAGATTAAGACTGAGTTGGTTTTGGAAGGGGATAAATGCACTAAATACTTCCATGCCTTGATGAGAAAGCAACATGCATCCAATTCAATCTCATTCCTCACTACTGGAGGTGGAGGTGTTACTAGTTCTTTGGAAGATATTGTGGGCCAATTCACTGGGTACTACACCAACCTGTTTGGGCATTGTCCCAATGTAATGCCTATTGACTGGAGTGTTTTTCAGGAGGGGAATGTAATCAATCCCATGGAAGCTCTTACACTGAACAGAAATGTCCATATCGATGAGGTTAAAGAGGCATTGTTTAGTATTGGGAATGATAAGGCACCAAGACCTGATGGGTTTACTGCTTCTTTCTTCAAGAGGAAATGGAATATGGTTGGGCAGACTGTTTTTGAGGCTGTGGATGAATTCTTTAGAAGTGGTAAACTGTTGAAACAGATTAACCATGCAACTGTTGCTCCGATCCCCAAGGTTAAGGAGAATCCTGGTGTGAAAGATTTTAGACCTATTGCCTGTTCTAATGTTACCTACAAGATCATTACTAAAATTTCTCCAACAGAATGAGCTCCCTTCTACCTGACCTTATTGATAAGGCACAATCTGCCTTTGTTGGAGGAAGGAATTTGATGGAAAATGTCCTTCTTGCTCAGCAACTTGTGAGAAGATGCAAGGAAGAGGTCTGTACCTAGCCGTATGATGAAGGTTGATCTGACCAAGGCCTATGATACTGTGTCTTGGACCTTTCTTGAGAACACCATGATTGGATTTGGGTTTCCTAGAAGATTTGTTGGTTGGGTTATGGAGTGTGTTTCCACTGCATCTTTCTCCTTGGCTATCAATGGAGGGATCCATGGGTTTATTAAATGTAGAAGAGGTATTAGACAGGGAAATCCTATGGCTTCTACCTTGTTTCTCTTCTGTATTGAATACTTTTCTAGACTGATCAAGATGAAAGTTAGACAGAGGAAATTCAGCTATCACTCTATGTGCCATACTTTAGGTATCACCCATAATGCCTTTGCAGATGATCTAATGCTTTTCTCTAGGGGGGATATTACTTCTGTGAAAGTTTTGGCTGATGCACTTAAACATTTCTCTCAAGTGTCTGGGCTGCATGTCAACCCACAGAAGTCTAATATTCACCTTGCTGGACAGATCAAGGATAATAAGGAGGAAATTTTAATTCTTGTGCAGTTTCCCTTGGGACAATGCAGGTACCTCGGCCTGCCACTTACCTCACAGAGAGCTTCAGAAAGGGACTTTGCACCTTTAATCAGTAAAGTGGAGGAAAATATTCGTAGATGGAATACCAAGACACTTTCCCAGGCTGGGAGAGTGGAATTAATCAGAAGTGTCATTCAAGGGATTCAGAGTTCCTGGCTCCAAGCCTTTCCAGTTCACAAATCTGTGTTGAATAGAATCATCACCATCTGCAGAACCTTTCTTTGGGGAAGTAAGTTTTCAAAAGTGACTTGGAGTGACATCTACAAACCCCTTGAGGAAGGTGGGCTGGGATTGAGGAACTCCTACACTTGGAATCAGGCCTTCCTCATTAAGAATCTATGGAATATAGCATCCCATAAAGACACCCTTTGGGTTAAATGGGTCCATTCTGTCTATCTTCAAGACAGGGATGTTTGGACATGGACACCAAAAAAAGGGGACTCACACCTCTCTAAAAAGCTGTCCATTGTCAGGGATCTAATGGTTGAAAAGTGTGGGGAACTTCAAATGATTGAAGAGTATATGCATTCCTTATGTGACAATGGAACTCTGAGCACCTCCAAGGTCTATGATCTCATCAGAACTAGGAACCAAGCCAAGCCCTGGATGAAATTCATTTAGCAGGCCTATATTCCTCCAAGATTCTCTTTTACTACCTGGTTAGCCTTTCGTAGACGTCTCCCTACAAAGGTTAACCTGTCTTATACTCTTATGTGGTAATGGAGAATAGGAATTGTACACTTCTCCAAATGGAGATGGAGACCACTGAGCACCTTTTTTTCTCTTGTCATATTACTGCCCAAATTTGGAATGGTATCAAAGCTTGGCTTAACATTGATGCATCTCTGTCAACCTTGAAACGTGCAATCAAATGGCTGAGAAGGCAGCACACAGGACACACTAATAGAAAGAAGCTATGCAGATTGGGGACCTTGAGTACCATTTATCACATTTGGAAATTGAGGAATAGTGTGTACTTTGACCATACATTGGTGGATGTTCATCAAGTTATTCAGCAGATCAAACTTAGTGTGTACAAGGTCATGTACAAACTTTTCCCTAGCAATTCTAACACCTTGTTTGGTAGAGGAATTGGCCAAGGAATTATGGCTGTGTGGATGGGTTTCAGGGCAATTCTGTTTGCTCTTTTTGCTGCCTCACCTTGGGTTTGGTTGGATCATGGAAACATTTCAACCCTTGCCTCCATGAGTTACTAGGGAAACTTTGAGGGTTTTGGGTCTGTTCTTGCTTGACTTTTTGGAAATTTTCTATATTATACTAACCCCTGTTGGTAAGTATGGAATAGTCTGTTTCTAGGTTGGGGTTTACCCCTTGGTGGTTCCTTCTGGTTGTTTGGAAACAATCTAAACACTAATACCTACCCTGTGTAGATGATTAGTGAATAGGTTGGGTCTCGGGGGGGTGTTTCCCTTGGTGGTTGGTCTGCTGGAAACAGTTAAACTTTACCTACCCACCAATTCTTGGTGGATAGATAGAGAATAACTTGTTTCTCTGGTTGCTTGGTGGTGAAAACTGACCAAACCATAGTCAACTTTATCTTGATAGGGTTGACTATAGAATGGTCTAGGTCCAGGGGGGCTGGTCCCTTGTGGGGGTGGAGCGAGGCCATCACTATGACCTTGTTCCTGGGTTGGCCCTTTGGCTCTGCCAGTGGGGTGGAAGGAAACAATCTTAACTCTAAGTACCCCTTTTCCTTTCTTTGTTTCTTTCCCCCTCCCTCCCTTCTTTTCTTTCTTCTCTCACCTTTTCTTCCCCCTCCATTTGTCTTCTTCCCTCTCTCTCTTATTCTCTTTCTTGGAAATAGGCCATACTAAAATAACCTTATCAACTCCTTGTGATTTGGTTATAGTAGAATGGCCTGGGTCCTGGGTGATGCTTGGGTTGGGCTCTGGTGAGGAAACGAACTTACCTCTACCTACCCCTTTTGGATAGGTAGAGAGAAGTTTGGGTCCTGGGAGGGTTTTCACACCCTACCTTCCCTCTTGCTTCATTCCCCTCTTCCCTTCTTTTTCTTCTTCTCCTTTCCCCCATTCTTCCTCCCTTCTTTTCTCCTTCTCCTGTTTGCTCTCTTGGAAACAGACCAAGATAAACTCACCCAATTACTCTTATGATTGGGTTAGGGTACTTTGGCATGGTTCCACTATGCGTGGATTTGGAGTCCTCTGATGGTGAATAACTGGGTTTGATGATTCTAGTATTGGATCTATGCTGGTCATTGGTTGTAGCCTTGCTGAACACTCTTGAGATATTCTGATCATGCTCGATATTTATGGTTACTGCCTATGATATTGAATCTGTTACTTACCAAACCTATGGGTCTTTTGGAACTTTGGATGCTGCTGGAATTTGTTGGTGCTACTGGAATGATGTCTCCCTGCTGCTGATGATGGACCTGCTGATGGACCTGCTGCTGATGAACCTGCTGACGGACATACTGCTGATGGACCTCCTGATGATGTTGCCTCTTGAATAATTAATCAATGCTTGTTTGAACAAGTACATCATGTCATGTGCTTAACCTTGAAAACTGTTACTGCTACACATACCCACTGCAAAATGCTCACAGTTGATGACTCTGAAATATGAACCTGGAAGATGGCTAATGATGTTACCCTTTGCACTGCACCCCATTGATGTGTCTGATACCCATGACTTATGAATCATGCCATCAATCATGCCCTGATGAACTGACTGCTGCCTCACAATGATTACCTGAAACCCATTGGAGCTTTGAATGGATTGGAAGAGTTTGTTTGGTGTTTTTCTGTTTATGGCTCGTTTGTTGTATGTGGTTTCTGCTTTGTAATGTTTCTGTATTTGAGTATTTGTAATGGTATTTGTTTAGATTAGTGGGTTTGTAATTGTTTCATATGCATGTAACCATTTCATGGTTAAGCATTTGACGATGATGTATTTGTTCAATTTGGGTAATAATAATTTACATTTTACCCTTGAAACTGAATTGGGACATAGCACAAAAGAAGGATATCCTATGGGTACAATGGATTCATGCTAGGTTAAGAATAAGTCAATCTGAGATTACATACCGCATCCTAATAGCTGTCATTATTGGAAAAAAATGATTAAAACGAGAGAGGATTTCTATGACATGCCTAGATTGGAACCTTATACAGTTCAGAAGGGTTATAACTTGATCTTGGGACCTAAAGACCCCCTACTGGATCAAATGGGTATGGGACAGGTGGAGACTATCTAAATTCAACTTTATTTTCTAGCTGATTATGAAAGAAAGAATCAATACTAAGATGAGGTTGAAAAGGTTCATAGACATCAATACTAAGTGTGCCTTGTGCGAGGAAGACGAAGAATACCAGGAAGGCAGGAACACGTCTTATGCAAATGTACTTATACTAAAAGGGTGTACAATGAACTGTTTGTATGGTTGCAGAACAATGTCAAAGGAGAAATATCAAGGAGATTGGACAAAGTATTATACAGATCAAACCAAACCGGAAAAAAAGAGATAGCTACGGCTACTTGGGTGGCAGCATGTTACTACATTTGGAATGCTAGAAATTCTAAAATCCACCAAAAAGAGTTCAAAGAAGAGGCAATATCTACTACCAAATACCGTGTTAGGGTATTGAATAATAGTAGTTTGTAGTCGTGTTTTGTTTAATTTGCTCTTTTGAGGTAAGGGTTTGTATGCAATCTGTTTGGTGAATAATCTGAGTACTTTAGTTTCATAAAAAAATGTATGTGATGGAAGTTTGTTTAAAAAGATAGAAATTTTTTGCAAGCCACATATTCCTTTCCTTCAAAAGGAAAAGGAAAAAGTGTGAAACTATTTTTGGGACATCCAAATAAGAAAACTATGAAGTTCTTTGTGGGACGGAGGGAAGGTGTGAGTGTGAGTGTGTGTGTGTGTGTTCACGTTGAAAACATTTTGGTTATTAAAAATGTGAAATCGTGACATTAAAATTTAAGCAGGAGAATAATATTATGAACCACACAATTCTTTTCTTAGACAAAAGGAAATTGAAGAATTACTTTGCACCAAAAAACTAAAAATGGAATCTAAGATAGGAGTTTTTTATATCAAATGAACATCGAATATGAAATGAATGATTTGAAATTTATTGATATGGTTTTATATGGCTTGCATCTTTATGTATTTGTACTTTATATATTTATTTTAGCTATGTATATAATAATATATTATTAATATAATTTTTAATTGTTATTTATAACATCATACCAGTTCAACGTGTGGTTGAACGGATCAAACTTATCAAATTGTTGACCACTAAGGCCACCGGGCACCATTTCTATGCTCGGTCTGATTTTGAAAACATTGTGAATAGGTGTTATAACATTGACACTGTAATGGGAATGGGAATTAACCTGCCATGGCGCACAAGGTAAGTGCAATTAATTTTTACGAAATAGAACAATCAAAATGCAATGAGGTTATTAATGCCTACATGTTCTTCCTGGTGGGTGTATGTCACATCCAAGCTCCCGTTCTCATTAGTAACCCAGACTTTAACTGTTTTATCCAAAGAACATGATAAAAGAAACCGGTCCCAACAAAGAACAGACATCACAACACTGTTGTGCCCCGTCAAAACTTGTTGACACTGCAAAGTTTCAAGGCTCCATACCTAAAAACAGAAAAACACTGACAGAGTAAAATAAATGAATGGCATGTCCTAATGAAAAAGGAATAGAAACAACAACAGAATTACTTCAAAAGCTCTTTCATAACAGAAGGGAAAATACATACACTTATAGTACTGTCAATAGAACCCGAATACAGCCTATTCGCTCCTACAACTAGTGTCACTACATGACGAGTGTGTCCGTTGAGTGACGCAGCTGGCTCAAAACAGTTGGTGGCGACATTATATTTCCAGACCAGTATCCCATTCTGCAGCCAGATTATGGTTCTTGTTTACATAACAAAAAAGACACCGGATCATAAATCAAAATCATGCACAAATTACCTCTGTACCGGCAAAGAGCATATCATTGCCCACAACAAGGGCATAAACTTGCCCAACAGGACCAGTTAAATTCAGGTCTGCTGATGTTTGAGCATTCCATGCCTGGATACAGGTAGAAGACAATAACACGCTAACCTTAAATTTTACTTATGTTTACAACCTGAAATCTGTATATTATACTCCATGCATGTCACATTTAAACGACATTGTAGAATAAGAGAAAATGATTCACTATGTAAACCATAAAACAACCTGAAAGAAGAGAGTTTACTTTTACCTTGACAAGATTGGTAAGGCCAACAAAAACCCATGGCCCTTCACTTAGCACACATCCAACTTCACCACTTAAATTGACAACGCCTGCACACTGTTAAAACCAAATGTTGTTATTATTATTGTTGTTGTTGTTATTGTTGTTGTTGTTCTTGTTGCTGTTGTTGTTATTATTCTTATAACCATCTGCAGTTAATTGATAATTGGCAGCACACTTGCAAGGTACTCAGAGGCACACTTGCAAGGTACTCAGATCGGAAAGAGTCCAACGATCTGCGGAACTGTACAATCGTACAATCCGGATCGCGAGTTTGACTAACATGGTTATAATTCATCAAAAAATTTAGAAAAGTGAGTCCAAGAAGAACCACCCTTATTATTGCCTTTTTATGCAGAGAAAAAGTCTTGTTTAAAGGGGGAAAAATTGAAATTCAGTGACAATAAAGTTTTATTTAAGCCATATGAGCTAACGTGAACAGTCTGCACCACAAGTGTGAGGCAAAAAGAGCAACAGTCTAATTTACATTCTCCTACAGCATCTTGTAAACAAATTGAAGACCGGGAGAAGATTTTTACCTGTCCTGATTGGCAATCCCATACTCTCACGGTCTTGTCTGTACTTCCTGAATAAAGCTTATCTGAGCCAGAGGGTAAAGCAATTCCACAAACGTTCTGTTTCAAAAGCCATGGAATTAGACAAGCATCAACACATGGGTAGACAAATAGTATAGTCTAAATTCATTTAGAAAATCAACTACCACTAATGTAATAGGGGGCGGTTCGGGTGACATGAACCCCCCAAGATGACATGGGCCCCGATTAGGGCATCTACGATGCTCCGTTCAAAAAATTGATGGTTCTTACCCCCCCAAACCCCCCCGGCCCGGCCCGAACATATCCCTGCACCCCTGTGAATTGCATGCCACAAGATTTAGTTGACTTTGGAGTCAAAATTTGACTCCAAAGTCAACTAAATCTTGTGGCATGCAATTGACAGGGGTGCGGGGGTATGTTCGGGCCAGGCCGGTGGTGGGGGCTTTACCGGGGGGTAGGAACCATCAATTTTTGAACGGTGCGTCGTATGAACATCGGGTCATCCCATGACATTGAATATCAATGTCATGGGAACCAAGGTGAATGTCAAGGTGAATGTAATATAATAGAGTATACAGTGTTATCAAATCATCAACTAACAAGAACTTACTAAGGTTGTAAGATTGAGATTCAACTCATGAATCATAATACCAACTTTTTTAATCATGAATCATATAGTATTACGAATAATAGATACATGACAAATATTAAAAAAAATACTCCCTCTGTCCATTAGTTTCTTTCCCACTTCCTTTTTTGGTCCGTCCACAAATTTCTTTCCTGTATCCTATATTGGCAAAAAACTTGTAATGAATGTGTCATTACACCCCTACTTTTTATCTACACTATTTACTTTATTACATCACATCAAGGGCAAACATGGAAAGTCTTTACATTTTTTAACTTTTCTTAATCTCAAGTGGGAAAGAAATTTTTGGACGGAGGGAGTATACTTTAATAAAACAAGTGGCATTAGCAATACATACATGCACACATACATAGATGATACATGTGTGTGTGTGTGTGCTGGCTCCTACCCCCTCACAAACCCCCAACCCCCCTCCCCCCAAAGCCCCCTCAATTGCACCCACTAACCCCCTCATATATACACGGAATATACCATGTTTGACCTACAAAGTTCAAAATTAATTTCCAGTCTAAGGCTTAAGGCTTCACTGATTATGTCATACATCAAAACAAACTGATCATATCTCTGAGGCATATTGATGCTACCAAATCACCCTATAGGTCAAGCTCATTATACCCAAGATCAATCATCCCCATCCTCTATTATTTCTTGCTTCTCCACAAATATCTCAAGGCACTTCCTTTTTAGCATTCTCAATTATCTCTTATATATAATTATATATTGTCATGTCTTCTTGTGCTTTATATTTTCCTAGCATTTCAGTTTTTGAGAGCTATTAAAGAGAATAAATTTAGCAAAAATAATGAAGGCTATATATCAATTCTAAATTCTAACTATCAAAGTTTTGATTTTTTATGGTATCATATGAATATTAATAGTTCTTTAGATACAGATGGGAATAATGAGATACTGTTTTGAATCACACATGTTTTAAATTCCTAAGATATGGATGAGATAATGTTCTGAATAACGGTTAACTTTTGAATTGTATCAAGTCGTATGAATAGCAAGACACGAACTACCATGGTTTAGCACCTTCTGATGGCCTTCAAGGTTCTTTAACAACCAAAAGCAATTTCCTGTACTCCAGGAATGCAAAAACCTGCAACTATCATCGTATTTACAACTCCCATTGAGCCAGTAATTACAAACTTTATCGGTCTTTGTCAGGGCTCTAGTGTTGTTGCCGCCGCCATGAGCCTGCTTTCTGCCCCAACTGTTATTGAAATTTGTAGTCCTCCGCACTCCGCCTCCCAAATCATCGGAATACCCATGCGAGCGCTTGGACGATGCTGTACCGTAATTCAAGGATGCATGTGCCTGAGGTGGCTGCGGCAATTCTCTGTGCAAGTAAGGGCACGAGAATCTATTACACCGACCTGCTCGCCAACTGAAGCAAACTTTTGGCTGCTTAGTACGGTTATCGCCTTGTGAAGGGCCAAGCCGCTGGAAAATGCGCTTGCTTCCATCCATATCCATACCGTTCAAGCTCTTTTCTCCGCCAGGCTATCAAGTATGCTCGCAGAGACAGCGTCAATGGATATGAGGGCAGATACCACACCAGGACGCGGTTGAATTTTTTGTTTAGATCAATAGCCAAGAATTGCTCACGGACTTCAAGAAATCGGAATGTTTCTGAACGGAATAATTTTAGGGTTTCTGAAACGATGCGAAACGGAAATCCGGAACTCCCAAAATGGCGATCAGAACTCGAAAGAGGAGAGGAGCATCGCAGGAAGATATTAAGAGAGGAGAGGGTCATACAGGCTCACAGTTCCGATTTCTTACCCGGGTTACGCCAGATGATGATGATAGGGCAGATAGGGGAGCTCACAGTATGGAGAGCTTTCCCACACGGAAAATTTAGGACGGGAGATTTCTTTTTTTGGAGATAAAATTTACTTTTAAAGGAGCACATATACCCCAAAATTTGTACACCAGAGGTATGCACTAATATTTTGATGTTTCATACTTACACAAAGTGTTGGGTGCGTTAACAAAAATTTGCATTGACACAAAGCCTTGGTGTGTTAACAAAAATTAGCATTAAAGTAATACAAAATGTTGGTGTATCCTTGCAGTGTACAAAATGGGGTACAAATTCTTGAGGTACAAATAGCTTTATCCTTAAAATTTTCCTTAGGTGCATTAAAAAAAATCCGGAGTTTCAAGTTTGGTGAAAAAAATATTTCACCAAACTTTATATGATGGCATGTCATTTATTGTGTCTTGACTCTCATATCCATAGAACCTAAATTCGAATTCTATTTGTTTTTAAAAATTTATATGATGGGTTGCTATTTATTGTATTTCATCATGTCTCTCCTAGCCTTTTCCACTATTAGTTCTGCCTTTTATCGAAATTTAGTGTTTTTTTTTAATTTGATGTTTTCCTTCATTTCATGATGTCTCTTACCATGTACTCGTGTACGTAGGAGTTACCTTACGTTAATGGATGCCTTTTCTTCCAAATCTAAGGTTTGAATCTTTTTTTGTTGAAACATATATTTCTAAATATACTCTTGGTAGTTTGGCGGCGGACGGTGGTGATGTCTATATCGTTGTGGTTGCAGTAGTTATGATGACAATGTAGCGGCGGAGGGTGGCATTGTGGCAGCGGAGAGTGACAATGTGGCGACGGATGGTGACATTCAGGCAGCAAAGGGTGACATTCATACAACAAAGGGTGACAATATGACAACGGAGGGAGACAATGTGGCAATGGTGGGGGATGGTGATGGCAACGTGACGGCAGAGGGAGGCAATGCATCGCTGGAAGTGGTGATGATGATGGCAATGTGGTGGTGGGGGTCACAATATGGCAGCGGAGGATAGCAGTGTGGTGATGGCAGTGGTGGTTATTATGGTATAGTAATGTATAGGCAGAGGTGCCAGTGTGGTGGTTGTGGAAGTGTAGAGATGAAGGTGGTAGTATGGCGGAGGGTAGATTCAAACCTTCTAGTAGACTTGGATTGCAGCATTTTGGGGTAACCACCTTCAACTACAACTTCTCAATTCTTTCACGAAGATCTCTCATCCTAGAGGAATTTTCCTCCCATCTTTCATTGGGGTGTCGTGTTCCTAGCGCACGTTGGGCACTTTGTACTTTATCGTCCTTCTTTCGGGCGCTAGCCTCATGCCAAGAGGATTTGACCTTTCTTTGATCATCCTAGATACAGACTTGGATAATCATCGGGTTCATTCCCAACCTCTTGGCAACAAGAACATGAAGTCTCTTGAAACCCCCACCACCTCGGAACGTCACCTCCGTGTCATGTAGCTAGATCGGGTCACATGCAAGAGGGACTCAAGATCTACTCGTCTCCATATCACCATGCATCTTGGCCTTCACACGTCTTGATAACCTCCATTGTGTCACGTCGCCTCAGTCCAGGATCTCTACATCACACGGATATTCCACGTTCCGGGATAAATGGAGTAGGGATAAGGCGCCCAAGTCATTATTCTGGATTGGACTAGACGATCCGGACCCTATAGTGCACATTCTAGTGTGACTCACTCATTGTACTTCCTGGTCCGCTCATTCTCTTCTTCGATCTCTTCATGGCTTTGGAAGTTTTCCTACCGCTCTGCCCTAAGTTCCTCCTGATCTGGGGAGGGTCCACATGTCTACAACTTCTTCCGTACATCAGCGGATTGTTTGGGATTGGCATAACGAATGGACCTTGCATTCGATCTAGTTTCTCCTTCATATGGGTTAAGAAGACTAGGATGTTACCCATCATTGTATCCAGCGAAGTCAGCTGAAGAACGAAATTCCTTCTTTTTCTAGAAGGAGGCGGTACTGCAGAGGATGACTGAGTCATTGTCTCGTTAGCCTTGTTTCTGTTCTTTGTTTTTCTTCGTCCATGCTCGATAACACTCTTGAATGTTCTCATTTGTCTCTCAGTGAAAACACCAACAATGAAGTTTAACTCCACTGATTATTATTCTTACATGAATGTCAAAGAAATGACGGAAATAATATTGAATAAGAGATGAGAATATTAAACTCAAAAATTAGAAGAAAAGAGCTCCCCTTATTCGAAACCTTTGGGGGTATTTACAACATCCAAGCTTCCTAACCATATTAGGCTTTTCTTAGAAAAATTAGGTAAATCTCTCCTCAAGTAACTAATCTCAATCATATTCAGCCTTGCCCTTTAGGTTTATTCCTTAGCCCGGATGGGTTTTGCCCACGATCTACCTACAAGTACTCCCTAAGCCTGGGCCATGATATCGAGTTAACTAATCAAGATAAGTGTATAGAGATAACTAGATTAATAATTACACCTCGACCTAATATACCAATCATCTATGTATGAATTCATTAAAACTTTGAACTTTCAATTCTCATATTACTTAATTTTGATGCCTAGGCAATTTTTATAACACAACTCATACTTATTAACGATAACATTTTTGAAAATCATGAAATGTAAATAGCTCTCAGATACCCAAGTGTGCATTTTGATCAAACTTGGTTATAATGAAACTCACTTTTAGCCCAAGAGTAAAGGAAAATATTTATACTATTCCATATGATTATAGTTGTTCTTCCGTGGTCCTAGAGTCCACATGTAAAATAGTTATACTATTCCCTCCTCTTCCTCTAGCTTAGATGTGTCACCAGTATCTTCCTTCTTTGACTTGTAAGTTTCTCTAGCTTCACACCGTCTTTAGTATTTCTATCTCCTTTATGCTCTTCATCAGTGCTTTTAGCCTTCCATACTAGCTTTCTTCGCACCCAGGTACTTTTATTACCTTGTTTCCACTTCATGTGCCCCAACTTCCTGCAGTGGGAGCAGATACAGGGGTACCACTCATAAGTCACTTATTGGGTAATCACCTTATCTTCATAATCAACAAAGGTAATCATCTGAGGGAAATCCTGCTGAACCTTAACCTCTACGTGTATTCTAGCATATGAGTTTTTAGTTTTATTTGCAGTAGGTTTGTCCATCTTTATAGGTTTACCCACAATGCTATCTGTTAGAAAATGCGTGCAACTCTAGAGGGGGGGTGAATAGATTTGTTGAGAATGTTTATCGATTTTCGCTGGATTAATAAGATAAACGTAGGTGCTAGAGAAATAAAAGAGAGAAGGCAAAGAACACACCGATATACACTGGTTCACCGCAACGTGAGGCTACGTACAGTTCCCTGTGAGACTCTCTCGAGGCTACCACTACTTCCGTTAAGCTTACGAGTGCTTAACAAATTACAACTCGAGAACTTGAATCCCACAAGCCTCAACACAACCGCTCGTAGATTTGTCCTCTACAAGACTTTGCAACCAAGACTTAAGTCACATAAGTCTTGTACAACAAGAAGAACAATCTTCTTCAATCTCTGAACATAAACTCTCGCAAGAGTAGAAATGAGAAATGATTTAAGCTCTAATGGATGACAAGAACACTCTCTTGAGAACAAATAATTTTCTCTCAAAATATATGAATTTGAGGAAGAATTGAATGAAGGATTATAACCTCGAGATAGGGGAGTTTAGGAGTGCTTGTTCATTGTAAAAATTACCAAGGAATGAAGTTTATAAAGGGGTTGAAGGAATATATCCGTTGGAGCCTAGAAAAAAGAGTGTGCTGAAAATAACAGCCAAATAATCGAATGTTTTGAAGCAATAATTGGTTTTTTTCTACTAAGCAAATTTCCTTCAGCAGACGAACTGATAATCAATTTTTGCCAAAGTGTAAAAACCGATTTTTTAAGCAATAATGCCCAAACATATAGAACACGGTCATGTGTGCGAGGTGAAGTGCTTTATTGGATTTTAGCACTTGTTTGGGACATGAAATCAGAGCAAAAGAGGCTCCCAATTGATAGAAATAATTCAAATTCAAATTTGAATTATGAGAATGTATTTTTGGTGTAGAAAATGAGTCCCAAAAATATTTTGTATGTTAAACGATGTACACGAAAAATATTTGAATAAAATATTTTATTTACCATAAGTATTTTCTAAATTCAAAATAAATATTTTGATAAATGTTTGACATACCTTTTGTAACTGACTCAATTAATGTATTTTGAACAGTTAAAAGATTTTTCAACTGACTCAAAAAATAGATATAATTTTTATATGAACTCTCATAAAAATAATTTTGGAGAGAACATTATTTTTGTCATCCTTACAAATATTCCTAAGACTCAAATAATTAAAAAAGGTCTTCAGAAATCTTCTACTCCTCCGAGTCCTCCGTTAGGCGCTCCGAACGCGTCTTGGACTCCAATAAAATCTTGTGCACTTTCTTGAAAACTTCATGAAATTTGCACTTCAAGTCTTCATGTTTGTCGATGTAGCTTTTTAATCTTGACTTAAATAAATTGTGTTTGTCAATTATCAAAACCTGTGAGTCAACACTTAACAACACAGAAAGGGTTGAACTCATGCATTCCAACACTACCCAGCTTGCTAAATCCAAATAAACTCCAGTATAGCTGGAAACCGGATCCAAGTTGGTACATCATCCAAATGCTCAAGGTCAACTTTAACCCGAGGATACCATTTTTGAACCAGAACTGGTTTGTTATCAAAAAAATAATATTTCCGTTTGATAACCATGTCCCTATCTTCAACTTTCTTAAAAGTCGCAATGAATTGTTCCTCTCTCAGCAGAGAAATATCCTCAATCGGGTATTTTTTCCAAATCCTTTGTACAAAACCATTAACTACTTCCAATGGAGGATTGGCTCCAAGAATATAATATACCAAAGTGGCATCCCAATAAGTTGCAGATTCAATAATGTCCTCCTTTGTGAGTTTAACCACAGGAGTCCCATTTAGCTCCGATTCAGGAATATATTGCAATATGAGATCATCATCTTGATCCCCTACTACACTCGCATATGATTTCTGAACAGAAGCATCTTCTTTTATTTTCTGTGTATCTAGGGTTTTAGATATTGTCGGATCCTTAGACTCCTCGATAGGGCTTGAGGATGCGACAGCGTTACGTTAGGGGATACCCTTCCATTACCTGATGATTAGGTGGAACTCACAACAATTCCCTCTGGTGATTGAACGCTTTGTCCTGTCTTGGCTGATTTTTTTCGGTCGTCCTCTTCTCCGCGGCATAGGTAGAGAGAGATTTTAGCTCCGATATATTTCATTCAATGATTGTATTCATTTTAGAGTTTATGTGTTACACCATTTTAAAATATATTTTTAAAAAATGTTTTGGACATAATTAGTCATATATCTAAATAAAGATTTTATAAACTTTATTACTCGTTTAAAAAACAAAGCTTGATGTGGCTTTTAACTAAACTATTCATCATTTTCCCTTTTATTATATCTCAAAATAAAAATTTATATAAATTTTAATACATGTACTTCAATATTAAAACTAAAACTTTTTTCTCAAAGGATATATTTTATAGTTAGAAATTATTTATCAAACGTATCATATATCATTATTAAAGAATGTAAAATAAATAATATTTTATTTTTTAGATGTCAAAATTTAGAATATATGTGAGTCCGTGCGAAGCACAAGGTTAATACTAGTCCTATGGTAAATTTTACAAAAACATAATCTAGTTAAAAGATTTGAATATTGTAATAATGATTGTTTATATATTTGATGTAAGAATATAATAACCCGCTCATTATTTATTAGTAAACCTTTTTATATTTAGTTACTAAGTGCTTGTATGGTGCATCTTGGGTGCGTATCATTTTTGTGGATGTTCTCACATAAAAAAACTTTTTCTTATTTTTTTAAATTAAAAAGTAAATGCTTATTTAAGTAGTAAGAAACTACTTATTTTGCTCATATGTAGGTCAATGATGGACTTAGGTCCACCATAGAGTTTTCCTTAGTTAGGATATTAAGCCTCTAAAAATGTTGGTAATTTATACTTAAGATTTATTTGGCTATCACACGTGATATAAGTTCTGCATGCTAAATCAGACCCCCTTTGTGAGTGTTAGGTGAAAGCTAAACAACATTGTTTAGATTTGATATCTTTAGAAATCAATCTCCCGAAACTCGGAGACTTGATATCTCTCAATCGCCGACCACCCTCGCCACCAGCCACCAGCATTGCGGGCCTGCTCTGCCAACTGCCCCTCTTCACCAATTACCACCGCGTGCTATTAATAATCATCATTTCAAATCTCTCCATGACTTTACATTTTAAATTTAACAACTTATATCTTTTTTTCTAGATTTCATAGCTTATATCATATCAAGCTTCCAAAATTTACGAAACGGGGCTTTCTTCATTTTTAATCATTCCTATACTATTTTAATAAAATATTATAATCATATCACCAACAATTTTGTAAAGCATTTAGTTCAATTTTTAATACATAAACTTTAATTTTTAATTTTCCTCCAATATTTAAAATGTTTAATTGAAAATAATTAATAAATCAGCGTAAATAAGAATAAAATATAGTATTTATTATCAAAATAAGAATTTCATGTTTATCTCCAAAGTATGAGTTTGTATTGTGACATTATCATATTGTATTGTAGCGTTCCACTGTATATTTTGGTATTATATACTGCCATTAATGAAATTGTACTCCTATTTTGAGATAAAATATGAAATTTTTATTTTATGGTATGTTTGGGAACATGGATTTGGATTTCAAATCCGGATTTGACTCAAATTCCATGTTTGGGAAACTTAAAAATTTTGAATTTGGATTTGAATCAAATTCTTCTCATTCATAACAAAGCTTAATTTGAAATTCATGCACCTCCTCTTGTCATTTGAAATTCAAGATTTCAAATTTGGAATTGAAATGCATGAATTGAAATGAAATGCTAGTTGCCAAACACTACCTTAGTTCTTTCTTCACGTTTTACTCATAGTTTAGTCATTTTCCAAAAATAATCTGAGCCAAAGTTTGGGAATCCGTGCTTCGTTCATGTGTAAAAAGTTATCTTGAATTTGGGTTTCAAAAAATAAGTAAGAGGGGATTTTCCAAATTTAATTCTTTATTATCCAATATTACGCTCGTGCTCTTTCATTTATAGGCACCTTTCCATAAATAGTCATTTTTATCTTCTGTCTTATTGATGTAAATTTAAAGGCTAAAAGTGTAATTTTGTAATGATCAATATTCTTCTTTTCATACACAATGCAAGAGATTACTCTTAATGCGTTGTTTGTGAATCGTAATTGTTTTCTACTACAACCATAATCTATCGATGTGGTTTTTGTCGAAATCTTAAACCACATCCATAATCATTATTGTTATTGTTGAGTTGTCAGCCTAACCTATATCATATTACGTAACTGAACATTAGTTAAAGTTAGATTGCACTTTTTGTTTTCAAATTAAGAACTTGACAATAGCTAAAAAAGAACTATTCGTATGAAACATACTGTGAAAGTTTACAATACAAAAGAGAGATATCACTTTGAGAGAAAAGTTAAGAGAAAACATTCAGCTTTTTGGGCATAGGGGAAGCGATCGATTCACGTGTATTGTGTCGTGTATTGTGTATACCAGTACACCTGAGCAGGCAGGTAATGATTCGCCATTAAATCGCCGGCGATCAAATGGACGTCGAGCGATCGTCCCTTTGCAATTGCGTTGTAAATTTCCTGTTGGAAGAGAACTACCTTTTAACGGCATTTGAGCTCCTGCACGAGCTTCTCGACGATGGCCGTGACAACCAGGCCATTCGCCTCAAGGAATTCTTTGCCAATCCAGTTCAGTTCCCTCCTGATCAGATCTCTCGATTAAACTCTCTTCAAGGTTCCCATTATCTCTAACTCGCATTAGATTGCTAGCTCTCTTTTTGTATTCTTTTCTGTTATCTATATATTCCTGTTATAGCAGAACTAATGGAATCCACAATTCATTTAAAAGTTCTTAAAATGCTGAATCGGATTCCTGCCTGTTAGGTAGTGTTTGGCAACTAGCATTTCATTTCAATTCATGCATTTCAATTCCAAATTTGAAATCTTGAATTTCAAATGACAAGAGGAGGTGCATGAATTTCAAATTAAGCTTTGTTATGAATGAGAAGAATTTGATTCAAATCCAAATTCAAAATTTTTAAGTTTCCCAAACATGGAATTTGAGTCAAATCCGGATTTGAAATCCAAATCCATGTTCCCAAACATACCATTATGGTATTTTAAATCCATATTCCAGTTTCCACTAGTTAATTCATAAAACTTCAGTTAATTCCTGCGTGTTATGTTTTGTTATTTCAGGTATTTTAAATTTATATCCCACACTCAATGAACAAGAATTTTACGAATCGGTGTAAATTGGCATATAAATTTTATATACCGGAAATAACAAAACACGCAGGAATCAGCAAAATGACTTCAGATTCAACAAACTATTACTCGTTAGCACTCTCCTCCCCTTCTTCGCAGCCCAAAACCACCCCTGGATTATCTTTAAAATCTGCTCTATGATGCATCTTGTGTTGAAAGTCCATCCATAAAGGATGTTGTTGTTTTCCTTCCATAAGCACCATATAATAAGCCATGGAGCCACCATTCTTAACATTCCTAAAAGATTGCCCTTGGAGTACGTACACCAATTCTGTTGCCTAAGAAAGCTGCCATTTCTTACTTTTGGTCCCTTCAAAGTAGTTGCAAAGAAATGCCACACTTGCTTGAATAGGGAGCATGTCAAGAGAGTGTGATCATCTGTTGCTTCTTCCTTCTTGCAATGCAAACACATGGATGGGAATTGGAAGTTTAACCTGTTAAGGTTGTTAGGGAGGCCTTGATTAATTGTTTTCCAAGTAAAAATAGCTGCACTTTTGGAATTTGAAGCTTAGACCAAAGGAGTGTATGTCAAAGAGAAGATGCTGAATCCTCAGTTGCTTCTTGGAGAGAAGCCCTAAAAGAGAACAGAATAGTGCCCTTCATCCAACTGCATTTCTCTATCTACCATGCTGATATCTAAACGCAGTTCATGCACTCTGCATATTCTCTTCCAAGCAAAAGAATCTTAAGCTTTTTTGGTTAAGGTGCCTGCCTGTAGTATTTTGATTTCATGAAGTCAGTCCACAAGGAGCCTCCATTCTGAATTTTATACCAAAGTTTTTTGGTGCTGGTCTTTTGTAGATCTTCTAAACCCCACAGCTCCAAACCTCCACTCGATTTGATCTTGCATATCTTTCACAACTCACCCAATATATACCACGGTTCTTTTGACATTGGATTTTAATGTACTCGTAATATAATGACATTGGATACATTCGAGGCCCTAGGGTGCTCCGTTCGACCCAAGAGTGAATTCTACTCTAACCCCCTCAAACCCCAACCTCCTAGCTCGCCTCCTGCACCCCACCCAACCCCTCCGCACGACGCACGTACCCCTCCTTCGGGTGACTGTTGACAATTCACTCTCCACACACACATAGATACGGAGTATATTATATTTAATAAAGGATGTTGCTATATTCAGGCGAGAATAGTCTTTACTGCTAGAAATGAAAATGGTACATTTTTAGTCTACTATCATACATTTCACATTTTTCGGTTCACTGTCAGTTTTTTTCAATTTTTTCATTTTAATAGCCCTTAGAGACTTCGTATGCACTCTCATTTCTTTCACAGTGCATCATTCTCATTTGAAACAAAGTATATATGTGTGTATATATATACATATAGATATATATTCATATATATATATATATATATATTGGAAATAATGTTATACTTATATACATATAACAAGACATATTCATATATATATATATACATATATATATATTTATATTAATATACATACATACATACATACATGCATACGCACATATACTCCCTCTGTCCCTAGTGTATTTTTCAAGTTTGACTTTTTTGAGATGAACTTTGAGCTTCAGTTAAATAAAAATTGTAATGTATATTTGTATAAAAATGATCTTATTAGATTTATCTTGTTGAGAACTTTTAAAATTTTACTTCATTATCCTAACATGCAATACAAATTGAGAGTAATCGAAGCTCAAAGTTTGTTCAATTTGACTTGAAAAAGTCAAACTAGACCAATACATTGGGACAGAGGTAGTATGTGTGTGTGTGTGTGTGTGTGTATATATATTTGTGTGTGTGTGTGTGTGTGGTTTGGATCCAATGAGAATGAAGTCTAATGAAAGAAATGAGAATGCATGTGGTGCATTAGAGCACAAGATCTGAGGGCCATAAGAATTAGAAAAATAAGCAAAAATCTAGAAAAATGTGATGACGTTTTAGTAAATATGACATACTTTTATGCCACTACAAAAATGCATTGCCATAATGTGTATGTGCATCGCGATGGACAAAAAATGCACCAATGACCATTCTCATTTCTCACTTTCAGAGCATTCCCTTCTAATCCGCACTACATATATATATATATATATATATGTATGTATGTATGTATGTATGTATGTAACTATGTATATGTGTGTGTGTGTGTATAGGCCATTTTACTTAGATGGATATAGTGAAACAATTGGACCAATTCAGTACTTAAGATTATGAAAACCAAACTTTGTCCTCTGTGCTCAAGGAGTTCTTGGTTTGATAGGCACATTGCAATGGGCATAATGTGTTAAAAACTATTTAATTTCTTTGTGTAATGTCGTGCAATGTCCCTTTATTAAATACTCCCTCCGTCCCCCTAAGATGTTCTCATTTTGACTTTTGGTGGTTTTTAAGGAGAGTTGAAAAAAGATGAAAGTTTACCATAATACCCTTAATGAAAAATGGGTGAAGTGTATTAAATGGTGTGGGTGGGGTGTAATAAATAAAGTAAGTGGGGGTCGTTGTGGTATTTTAATTGTTAAAAAATGAAATGAGAAGATCTATTGTGGACTAAGAAAAAGGGCTATAGGGAAGATCTATGGGGGACGGAGGGAGTAACTAGTAATTTTGCAAATTTAATGAATTTGACATTGGTAGCTTTGACCCTTGAAAAAATAAAGATGGAAGTAGAAAAAATTGGAAGGAGTTAGAAACAACTGGAAAAAGTTGGAAGAAACTAGAAAGAGTTGGAAACCCGGAAGGATTTGAAAGTAACGGGGAGAAGTTGGAAAAAATTGGCAGGAGTTGGAAGAAAGTGGGAAGAGTTGAAGAATGTTAGAAGAAAATGAAAAGCGTTGAAAAAATAATAAAGTTTTGAAAATTCATATTTTTATTAAAATATTTTATACTCCATTGAATACATCTTTATCTTTTCATATTTGTTTCTAGGTCACACTTTTTATTTGTTTCAAATCGTAGTAATTTTTACTCACACATTGTTTTCAATTTTCATACACTATTTCACATCAATATCAATAATATACGTTTTCACTTTGTAATTTGTATGTTGTTAACCAATGTTATGAAGATAGTAGGTCTAAGTGAGCAATATTTTTTTAATCGTCTTAGTTAAAAGAAAAATTGACATAAATAAACTATTCTTTTCATTTTTGTCCCGCAAAAATATTTACTCTTCCCTTTTTCATCCAACCAAAAAAAATCATTTCCTTTTTCACTTTTTCTTAAACTTTTTAAGAGTCAAACACATAGTGTTTTATGGGATGGAGGGAGTATTTATGGTACATCCAACGTACACATATTTAGAATTTGGCCAATAAGCACATCTGGAGAAATGATATAATTGGCTTAGTTATTTGGAAGGAATAAAGAGCATACAAATATTTAGCAAAAGTAAATATATTTAAGCCAATATTGCTCCACAAAAACTCATTGTACTTCTAATTATAAATAGATTGTTTTATAAAAATTAAATAAATTTTATTTGTAAATATTTATTAAAGTAAATCAGAAATCAAAACCAATGCAACTTAATATTGTTTCAAAGAAACATAACTATGGAATTTAAAAAGTTATAAAGGGGAATATAGAATAAATTAATTAATTTGACATTTTAATATTTTATGTTGACTCAATAATCATTACTGTACTATTTCTATATAAATTGTGACATTCATTCATTTTTATTCTATTCAAATTGATGATAATAGTAGTAATAATGATTGCAATTGTAACAAGAATAGTATGAAAATAGATCTGAATACTTTTTTAAAGTCAATGTTGGAAGAAATTGAAAGGAGTTAGAAAAAACTTGAAGTTAGAATAAATTGGTTATGAGAGTTGGAAACAATTGGAAGAAGTAAGAAGAAACTGGAAGGAGTTGGAAGAAACGGGAAGGAGTTGGAAAATTTTTAAAGTTAAGAGTTAGAACAAAAAAGAACATAGCCTTAGTATAAATAGTTTGCTCTAGCCTGGGTAATTGAGTCTAATTCTTTGATGGATTCTACAATTATTTTACCCAAGTATCATTTTTAAAGCTTACAAAGAGAGTTAAGGTTTTTAATCTCCATTAAAAAAAAAGAAGAATCGCAATGCTAGGAAATATGACTTTTATTATCAAACATTACCTAGAGCCAAATGGACCGAATTTAAAACTATTTTGTAATGATTGGAGATTTGATCCATTTAACTTTTTATTCGTTGCATTGGCCTCTAATGTCAATCTTGCTTCAGTACTGAATCTTACTTTTTTATTAGAGTTGAAGGATGCTTCTTCAAATGATCAAATTCATTAATCTTTTCAATTGATAACTGCGTGATCATTTCAAAAGTTCAGATAGTTGGCAGTGTGAACTTACCAAGTAAAGATGCTGGTTGGAATATTTGAAATGATCATTTTTTTTCTAAAGTGGTTGTGTTTAAGTTTGAGTTATTTTAAAGTTTAGTACACTTTATTGCGGAGAACTGTACATACTTTGCTATATTGATGTATGCTTTGTGTCACCTATGATCTCGGCTAATTTTTATTTCTTTTTGTGAGATCAGTTGCTGACCCCCAGACTCTTCTAGAAGAACGAGAATTAGTAGAAGAAAAATTGGCGCTTGCTGAGTATGAACTTCGTTTAGCCCACGAAGACATCGCTAAGCTTAAGGATGATTTGCAGAGGAGAGATCAGACTGTCCTTAACCAAAATGATGGTAATACAAGCATCTAATTTGCATTTCTAACATCTTCTCTTTAGAAATGACCACAATGACGGTTTTCCTTGTTTTATTTCTTACTCGTATAGAAACTTTTACATGCTATTCTGCTATTGATAGTCTTCATAATTATTTATTTTGGTAAAACAGATAGGATTTAATAGGAAATGAGTTTTGAAGTGTATCACATGTCTTGTGTGTTTTCCAGAGATGTCTTCTTCCATTTTATGCTATTTTTTAATAATTAAGTCTTGTATTAATATTTGAACCTGTTTCTGTTGTCTCTGAATTTTCCTGTTGATATCAATTTGCAGAGTCAAAGGAACATGTATACGAAAAAATGGAAACTGAATTTCAGCAGCAGAAAAAGGAAGCATTTTTGTCTGATTTGGGCCCTTTGAAGGAGAATGAGCGCAAAGATCTCAACTATGCTGTGAAGGAGTATTTGTTGATGGCAGGATATCGTTTAACTGCTATGACATTCTATGAAGAGGTCCTTTTCTTAAGTGCATGTGGTTTTTTTAATTCTAAATATAAATATTCAAAATAAATGGAAAATTGTTACCTTTTTTTTGAAAGGGGTATCTTCCAATTGGTTTCGGGCATAAGGTTTTGGGAAGTAATTGGTTCAATGCATCAAGAGTCTAACAGAAACAGTTTATCTATTTTTACAGGGGTAAAGTTGGGTACTTCTTGACCCTGAGACCCCTATAAAGTTGGTTTATATTGGGTTTTGTTGTAGTTGTTTGTTTCTTACATAAGGTTTTCTGTTACTTGTGTATTTTGTAGGCTAAAATTTTACCAGCGTATGCACATTAAAAGCATTTTTTATTTTACGCAGAAGACAGAATGAAGCAAGAAATATTGCATGACAACACACATGTACTTAACTTCTCACATATGACAGGTGACAGACCAGAGCTCAGATGGTTGGCAGAACTCTTCTTCATATGTCCCAGATGCTTTGCGCCATTACTACTGCCAGTATCTGTCAACCTCCACTGAAGGTGCTGAGGTAAAGTCTGAACTGTGGTTTCTACACACTAGCTACTTTTGACTCGGAGAGTATTGAATAAATCCTTTGTTGTGATAGTGTACAACAGCACCCTTTGTTAATATGGAATGGCTACATAAATTGAAATTTGCATGCAATGTTATTGGCTTATTGCCTTATATTACAGGAGAAAATAACTATGCTTAGAGAAAAGGAATCGTTGATCAAGGAAAATGAAAGGCTGATGCATGAAAATCAGGCCTTGTTCAAGAGTAAGGAAAAGACTGATGCCCGTGTCATCTCATTGACGAAGTCCTTGGAGGCCCTGCAGAAGGATATTAAGGACAAGGAGATCCTGGTAGTTCTTTATTTATACCTAGTCTCTTAAGTATTAAAAAAATGTTAGTTTTAATCCTTTGCACTCTTAGTGTACATGTTATGTAGTGGAGGAACCAAATCTGGTTTATTTAAACAAGTTAATGAAAAGGGGAAAAATACAATAGCTAGAGGACAAAAACAGAAAATAACATTACTGAAATGTACTGGCATTTGTGGGTTACATTTGTTTATGCGTAGAAGGTTGATCCCATTTATTTTAGAAGTGTGTTCCGATTGAACCTGAGAGCAAGTAACAATATCTAGCAATATACTTCAAAGTTTATTCGAATTTCACAAAAGGTAGATATTGTACGGATGCTAAGTTTACATACACATCAATCTGCAAGGAAAGATATAGAACCCTAACATTACCATCTTCAGAGTTTAAGAAAATGACAAAATTTAAAAAACTCATTTTCAATAGACAAACATCATATCATATATTCATAAGACTGACTCAGAAATGCTCCCTCCATCCACAAAAGAAATTTAGAGTTACTATTCATTGGGTCAAAGAATATCTTCTATCCTTACATTTTTTCACTGATCATTTGTAAAAAAAAAACAGTCAACGTGTACAAATCTGCGTGTTAAAATAAATAGTCAACTGTGTATGTTGTATAACTTAGTCCATGCACCAAATGTAGTTGACCTAAGCATGGTACTGGAGTGAGATTAAAAAAATACAATAGTTAAGGGAACGAAACAAGATTTAATCCTAAAATGGCATGCAGTATCATTTATAGGTTACATTTGTTTAAACTTTATATGAAATTATTGTGTTTCTACTTTCAGGTCCATGACTTGAAGCAGTCTCTGGATGGACAAATCAAAGAACTGAACAACTTTAGAGCAGAAATAACATCACTTAAAATGCAGATAGAGGAAGCGCATTCTCAACGGAATTTATTTGGCGGTACTGAACTCTTAGAATTCCCTTCTGGTGATGGATGTACTGATGAAATGATGTTTCTAGTGAATGGCATTGAAAGCCTGAAAGATGCAAAAAAATCTGCTGATAATGAGTTTCCAGAAGCCAGTCACAAGGAGAGAAATCACAAGGAAAAAGATGTTGTTGGAGAGTCACATGATAATGGTATCCCAGATTGTACGAATGATCTCTCATTTGGTGGATTGAGAACTCAAGATTCTGATCAGATGATAGACCAAACCTCTGGTTCTCTCAAGAGACCTGAAGAACTATTAGTGGCTTCAGATGATAATAGTTTTCCTGAACAAACTGAAAATTTCAACAGTGAACTACCCACAGAGGCATATTCACCAATGAAACCGCACAATCTTATGGCTGAACCCATTTCAGAGACGATGGTGAATTCCCTTATTTATTCACCATGTACTGTGTTCACCTTGTGAAGAATTATGTCATGCCAACCGCAATATTGTTTTTAACTTTCAGGGTTTAGGGACGATACAGATAGTGTCAGATTCATTGCCTAAAATTGTACCTTATGTTTTGATAAATCATCGGGAGGTGCGTGAGTTGCTTTTTCTTCCTGTTTCAATCCACTAGAGTTAACACTAAAATTAACCATTGCTTCTTGTTTTCTAACAGCATCTTATCCTAGATTGTTGTATTTTTATAGGAACTACTTCCGTTAATAATGTGTGCAATTGAGCGGCATCCAGAAAGCAGCACTCGAGATTATTTGACTCACACATTATTCAACTTAATCAAACGTCCAGATGAGCAGCAGAGGCGGATTATAATGGATGTAAGAATGTGAAAGCTCTGCATTTGGAGTTTCAAATGTTTTTGATACTTGAACCACCTGCATTTTTCACTTTTAGGCTTGTGTTACTTTAGCAAGAAATGTCGGAGAGATGAGAACAGAAACAGAACTACTTCCTCAATGTTGGGAACAAGTGAGAAAATGTCATTCTGCCAGAAAACATCACGTGCTTATTCTTCCTATTTAATTATCATATACTTTATGCTCAACTTGATACGTGTAGATAAATCACATGTATGAGGAGCGTAGGTTGCTGGTTGCTCAATCATGTGGAGAGCTTGCTGAATTTGTTCGGCCAGAGATTCGTGATTCTCTTATCTTATCTATTGTTCAACAGCTGATTGAGGATTCTGCAACGGTTGTTCGTGAGGCGGCTGCTGATAACCTTGCTTTGCTGATACATCACATTCCAAATACGGATAAATATTTCAAGGTCAGCCTCACTACATATGCTTCGAGGCAATCATGGAGAAGAAATCTGACTTTTCAGAATGTCCCACAATGTAAGCTCCGTGGTCTAGAAATGGAGCATTTCCACAATCACAACATGATGAGTCAAAAATGATACTGCGTATATAGTAAAATAGTAGAAATAGAGCTGTCCAGTCAATTCTTCCCATTTATGTTTAGGTTGAGGAGATGATGTTCCAATTAGCATGTGATCCATCTGGAGTCGTCGTAGAAACAACCATGAAAAGACTAGTTCCAGCTCTGGTAACTTGGGGAAACAATTTGGATCATATTTTACAGCTTCTGCTCTCTCATATCTTGGGATCAGTTCAGGTATAGTCTATGTATATGTCTGTTTTGAGATACAATTACATCGATGATAAAATGTATCTAAGTTACTGTCTTGTGCAGCGATGTCCCCCACTTTCAGGCGTAGAAGGCTCCATTGAATCACATCTTCGTGTTTTAGGTGGTAGAGAGCACTGGAATGTTGACGTCCTGCTGAGATTGCTGGTAGAGCTGCTTCCACGTGTCCACCAAAAAGCTATTAGAACATGTCCTTTCCCTTCAGTCACAGACTCTGNCTTCAAAATTATGCAGAGTAACCTCTCCTAACCGTTGTTGATATATATATATATATATATATATATATATATATATATATATATATATATATATATATATATATATATATATATATATATATATATATAAAACATTTTTTCTTTCTTAAATTATCTTAGATCCAATTGATTTTTTAGGGGACAGATCGAGTGGCCCTCATTTGAGTGGCTGCATATGGACTTCTTTCCTGCTTTAATTGAACTTGCCTCTGTACTACCACAAAAGGAAGATAATTTGAGAAGTCGTATAACAAGGGTACTTTGGCTTTTTATTGGCGTGAATTTTGAGTTTTTGGTTTGACCATTTTGGTCTAAGTTTTTAACTATATTTGTTTGTTATACAGATCCTATTGCAGGTATCACATCTTTTTGGTGAATGTTATCTTTCTCATGTCATGCTTCCTGTATTCTTGGTAGCAGTTGGGGATAATGATGATTTGACATTCCTGCCAACTAAATCCAAGTCAAGGATAAAAAGTAATCAGTTCTGGACACTTTACTACGATTAATTTTTTGTGAGACCTACATTTTGCAAATTCTTTTGAATGATGGTTGAATGTCCTATTATGATACAGGTTTGAGGCCAAAAACTGCTATAACTGAGAGACTTGCGACACTCTGTGTCCTGCCTCTTCTCTTGGCAGGTGTTTTAGGCTCTCCTGCCAAGCAGGAGCAGTTGACAGAATATGTTAAAAATTTGTTGATTCATAGTTCAGATCGAGAATGGAAAATTTCAAAGCATGACATTTTCAATTCTGTTCGATTCCTTTGGTTTGTTTTTATTTATTTACCCATAATGTTCAAATCATGGATGACATCATATAAATCTTTAATTTTTCTGCTTGACGTGTGCTATTTTATGTAAACAGCACATTCGAGGAACATCATACTATGATTTTTAACATCCTTTGGGACATGGTGCTGAGTTCCGATATAAGTATGAAAACGGATGCTGCTAATCTTTTTAAAGTTATTGTAAGGCCTTCATGTTGCTTAACAAATCCATAGTTTAGGTGATTGTAAAACAATGGCTAATATACGGATTCATACTGATGATTTTATACACCTCATTACTTGATAGGTCCCATACGTTGATGCAAAGGTTGCCTCAACTCATGTTTTGCCTGCTCTTGTAACCCTCGGTTCTGACCAGAACTTAAATGTGAAATTCGCAAGCATTGATGCATTTGGATCTGTAGCTCAGCATTTCAAGACTGATACAGTACAAACTTTTCTTTTTATGTTTGTCAATGCTATTCTGCTTTGTTGTAGCTGTTTTGATCTCATCACATCTCACCATATTCTTCTCTTAGATTGTTGATAAAATACGTGTTCAAATGGATGCTTTTATTGACGAGGGATCACATGAAGCTACGATTGCTGTAATTCGAGCACTTGCAATGTCCATACCACATACAACGGATACACTTCGAGATTATATCCTTACCATCTTGGATTTTCTAACGCTTGATATCTGATAAAATGTTTTTCAAAACGTTGTACGTGATTCTTATTCCATCCAAATGTTAATAGCAAATCTTTCTTTAACCTGTTATACATCTTCTCTCCAAGATCTTTCAATCTTCAGCTGCACCACCTGCTACTAATGATGTGATGTGCCGTCGGGAGAGAGCAAATGTGTTCTGTGAAGCAATTCGTGCGCTGGATGCTGCAGGTCCTGTTCTTTCAAGTTAAATACTCGATAATTTTTTTTTTGGAGTTTAATGTATATCATTTCTACTTGTTTGTTTTGCATCTGTGATCTCTTGCAGATCTTCCCATTTCAAGTGTTAGAGACTTTCTCCTGCCAACAATCCAGAACTTACTCAAAGACCTTGACTCAATTGATCCAGCACATAAAGAAGCTCTTGAAATCATTTTGAAGGAAAGGTCGGGTGGTACATTGGATACCATAAGCAAGGTGATGGGCGCGCATTTGGGAATTCCATCATCCGTTAGTAGTTTGTTTGGCGATGGTGGTTTGATAGGAAAACGAGAGAGCGGAGATGCACCCGAGCCTGTTGATCCCTTAAAGCAACTGGCAATGCCTTCACCGGCTGAAGACACGAGATTAAGGCGGATCATGAGGGGTAGTTTCACAGACATGCTTAGGGGCAAACACAAGGGCAATGATGAAATTTCACCTAATCAATAATGATGAGCAAGGAAGTTTTTTATATACGTCGTCCGTATATAGGAAAATTTTACATTATTACTCCCATATTTGCGTGCTTTTACAAAAATACTCCGAGAGTCGATAAATGACACCGATACTCCTAGAATTTTCTCATATTTAAATTTATGCTCCAAAAATGACTTATGTTTACATAGGTGCCCCAATATTTGGAGCACAAATATAAAACGTACTCCCTCTGGTTCAATATGATTTACACCCCTATTCCAAACTTACGGAGATTTTGAATTATTGCATTTTTTGTTGATCATTCGATAGAATTAAATGTTCTTTTCATCTCTTGTTTTGTAGAATTTTTGACGTAATATTTAAATGACTAATTTTTATTTTTTTTGTTTATATTAATTTTTAAATAAAATGAATTAAAAAACCTGAGACTTTGTCTTCTTTTGGCTTCTTTCCATGTCAGTCATTTTGGGAGGGAGGGAGTATATAAATTCGTAGACATGTGAAAATTCTCAGAGCATTGTTCTCATGTATTTCTTTTATCCCAACAGGTGAACCACCAAAACTTGCGGGATAAGGACCAGGCAATCCTTACAAAGTTTACTAAGAAACAAGGTAAGTATAAGGTTAGGGGAGGACCAAGCCAACACACCCTTCATATAATACAATAGAAACAAAAGGGGAAGGGGAACCCTTTAACAAGGATTGACCAAAGCTACAAAACAGTGCCAAACTAAGGAATTGCCTGTGCCACAATAAGGTCAAACAATAACTAGTCTAAGGCATGACCCGCTCTGATGGTGTAAATTATACCACGCAAATACTAAGTATAAATGATTGGAAGGGTTGTAGGTGGAAACACCTGTAACCCGATTTGTTATTAATGATAATAGGAGCTATTACAAATACAAGCCGTGTGGATTAATTAAAGCATGCCTTACTGATATGCACATATTTTATACACTTTTTAAGCATATTTTGAAGGAGTTTTGAGTCTCAATTGAATTTAATGTTTATATTTTATTTCAATTTTCCGTTTTATTTGTGTAGAGCGGTCCTATGCTTGGTTTTATATGTTTTGTAGGTATTTTGAGGCCATTTGGACGCATTGAGAACAATTTCAAGAACGGAAAATAAACATGGAAGTTTGGGACCAAAATAAATTGAAGAGAATTGAAGAAAAGAAGGAAACAAATAAAGAATAAGAAAAAAAGAGCAAGGATTCGAACTCAAGACTTGGGGGTAGAGATTTGAAACTCTGACCATTGCACCACAACTGACTGTTCAACTTTTCGGTGACAGAGCGCGAATAATATCTGTTCTAATATTCGGCTCATGAATTGGGAGAAAATGACAAAATAGGAGACGGTGGGAAGATTCGAACCCAGACCACGCCGCCAACATCCAGCTGCGTTTCCATGTGAGCTACAGGAGATGTTTTGACCCATTATGCTACTGTTTGTATATACTCCGTATATACGATTTTATCTATAAAATCACATCTCCTCTCTTCTCTTAGGAGGTTGGAACCCCCCATTTCTCTCCTCCCTCCAATCCGAAATTCTCCTCCTCCATCACTAATATCTCACCACTTTCTTCATCCAAACACATAAAAATTACTCCATCTTCATCATCATTTATCATATTTGGAGCTCAAGAACACATCTTCCATTTTGTAAGATTTTTATTATTGTAATAAATATT